CTCTTTTGTCAGCTTCTGTGCTGCAATGTGTTTCAACTCTTTGGAAAAGAGTACGAACAAAGCTATGTTTGTGAGACAGAGGGTGATTGCTGTTGAAGTAGAGTATTTTTTTGCTGGTGGCTTTTCTGAATACTGTGGTTTGCAGTAGTTCAGTGAAACAGTATTCAGAAAAGCCTCCAGCACGAAACAACTAATCCACAGAAGATGAATTATAATTCATATCCCGGAATTCTGACATTTTCGAAGAGTCTAGTTAGTTAATAACTATAAAAAATGAACAGGCCTGGCGAGAATTTGTTTAAAGCACACGCTGCCTATTAGTAAAAAAAGGTATTTCATGTGATCTCAAAATCCACTCAGCAAACAAAGAAATGAGGGAAAAGTAGAATAGGAAGTGGCAAATGAGAAAGAGGCTGTAGATGTAGAGGTTAAGGGCCGCACGCGAAAGCATTAGGGCCTGCAGTCGGTCACTCGAGGACATTTTCCCTCTGCCTATTAAGAAAGGTATCTGAAGAAGAAGAAGAAGAAGAAGAAGAAGAAGAAGAAGAAGAAGAAGAAGGTGCACTACGGCAATATGAATGTTATTTTCCTGACGTTTCGGACTCTTTCGAGAATCCTTCATCATAAGTAACCGTAGGATAGTGTGAGACATACGCAGATTGGAATGATAAATACACAGATTGCATGGTATCTATAGTTCGTAGCGGTCATCCGCATGCGTAATATAAATATCGTGCAATCTGCGTAGGTAGCACCCCAATCTGCGCCTGTCTTACACCATGCTACGGTTACCTATGCTTAAGGATTCTCGACAGAATGTGAAACCTCAGGAGAATGAAATGCTTGTTCCAGTGACCGCACCTTCTTCTCAACTACTCGCATGTTCGCTTCTATCGCTAATGAAGGTATTTAATGTGACCAGGACTCAACAAAGCAAAGACGGTAATGACGATTAAGGAGAGGAGAACATGAGTGATGTTTAATCACAAACGGGACTGTGGATGTGGAGATTAAGAAAACAAAATCAACCAGAAAAACCAGAAAAAGAGAGAAAAAACCTTGGAGCAGCCAAAGCAACTTCGAAAGACTGCTGGAAGCGAATTCGCATCTCATTGGTGATGGCTGTGGCTTTTAAGACCTGCTGAACAAGAGCTTTATTTAGCAGCACAATGAAACCTGAGGAAGCGCTTAAAAGCAGGAAATTTGTTAAATTATTATTTTTTATCAGTCGATTCAGCAAGTTTTCGGGGCCTTAAGCAAAAAAGTAAGTAGTCTAAGCGGAATAACAAATTTTTTATACCACTCCGTCACATTCCATAGTTCTAATTGTTTTGAGATGCTTCGTGTGTCGGTTTGTTGGGAAGATCGCATTGTAAAGACCGTGGCGAATGCCTTCTTCAAACCACACTCATGCACACCACAGATACTTGACGCACAGTAATTTACTTCCTAACGCGATGTGGTGGCCAACATTTATTTTGGGCCAACTAAAAGTGCAATTAAAAAAGCACATGAGAGGTCCAATCCTCGAATGAGCAGACGTGTGAATGGTCAGCTGCGAGCATCCAGCTGACGATTTTCACAGTAGATAGCAGGCTTCACTTGTCTTCTACCAGCAGCGGCGTGGGCCATAAAATATTTCCTGCCAGTAATAACGGTGTCATGCACAGGGCAGCCATGACAAAGCCTGTCTCAGGCTTTTCATGCAGAAGAAAAAAGGGGCGAACAGTAATTACCCGGCAGTTCAGCTTTTTTCTTCGTAATGACTAGAGTCAGTTCATCATCGTAGACGTCGGGCAGATCGTCTTTGACAGGCTTGGCAGCAGGTTTAGGCGGCGCCGGTGCTGAACGTTGTTCGTCAGCTGGCACTGATACTACCGTCGGAAATTGTTGCGCTGCAGGGGCCGGCTTCGACCTAGCTGGAACCTAAAACAACCAGAAGCAAAAAAAGATTTGACATGACGCACCTGCGGCTTTTAAGTCCTACAAAAGTTGCAAAAATTCCCATTAGCGAATTCAGAACAGCATTTGGCCATACATTTACATGGGAGGTTTAAATTTAAACAATCGATCGCTCGTCTTTCCTTACACGCGGGAGCCAATCAGA